CTTCGGATGCTACAGGCGGTAACCATGGTCTGGAACTCATCCCAGAAGAAGACGACCGTCTATCGCGGTAGAGACCGGGCTTCTCGGACAAATGGTCGCAGAGGGCTTCTATCATCTGTGGTGTTACGGTTCGCTTTCGGCCTGTTCGGGTTTGGGGGGCGTAGATGCTTCCAAATTGCCGTAAATTCCTGCGAATGTTAATAATTGTACACTTAGTGCATTCAGCTTCTTCAGCCATCTGTGATGTAGTAAGTGACTGGCTCTCAATCATATCACGAATGAAATGGAGCTTTGAGGCAGAGAGCCTTGGAGCCATGTTGTTTGAATTACTCTTGAATAACGTCAAATTACAAGCCAAAGGGCATGAAGAAGTCCAAAGCAGAGAGCTAGCCCATGTACAGCAATTTCGTGTAAGATATATTCCTAGGTGTCTCATTATTGTATTGTAAAATACAATCTCCATTCCGGGAAGCGGTCTGGTTACCAGGGGCGGCCTACTACATCCAATCAGAACTCACGTATTTCGGATTTATTATCCGGGAAAGAAGTTCAAAGAGTATAGTGGTATACCTGATTTCGAAAACTACTGTATAAGGGAGACGCCGTCAGTCCTAAAGGGGGGTGTTGGAATTACGTGAGGCAGTCACATGATCCATGTTTACAGGACGGTCTGTAGCTAGCTTGTCTCTCACCTTGTTTTTGTTACGCACTGCAAACAAACTGGTCGCACTTAGTGTTAGAGGGTTTCGCGATATACTTGCCTGAATCCTCAGTCCTCCAACGTCAACGATCTGTCTCTCAACCGTACTGTTGCCAACAGGCCTTACTGCAGATTAGGTCCTTTTGAGGGTATCGAGGGACGATGCTAGGTAGAGCGCTTAATTGATCTATACCGGGGTATTGGTCAATTGATAGGTGTTGTCAAGTTATAATCAAGTAAGAAGTCACACTGGTAATCCAAAGGTAAACACAAGTAATAATGTATAATTGAAGACGAAGAACCGAACTAGATACATGAATGAGTGTCCTTATATATCCCTGGGTTCTTCCTATGTAGATGGGTAGATACTAGAATGGTAGAAATGCCTTGGATAGTAGAATGGTAGAAATGCCTTGGCACTTTCTACTGATCTCCTATCTACCGTTCTACTACCTGCATGATCACGTGATAGGTTTTTGTGCCCAAAACACGTCTCTCTTGGGCACGTGATCCTGTTCATTGGGGGGGGGGCGGAATGAATATAGGCAGGCGGTGTGGACAGGCAGTTTGGTTGATTGGCCCTCGGCGGCCCGCCCGTGTAACATATGGGGCCGCCATCGATTGGCAACTAACGTATCTATAACAGTTTTCCCCCAATAAGCGGGAATCTCCAGATACAGAACACCGTCGTATTAGTCCCTCTTCTCCCGGCTTTCTAAGACCTTCCTAATAGTCATTTATAGCGTTTGCTACGTTTATATAGAAGCTCTACTCTTCGAGGTTTAGTGTAAAGGTGTACTGTTTCCAGGTGTATGGCCTGTCAACCGGGTAAGATACTATGGCTTGGAGGAGAACACAATGTATTGTCTGGAGTGCCAAGACTAATTCTTGCCAGTCTCTTTTTGGGACCCTGGGGGGTCCCA